TTGACACCCCAGTCAATAACTGGATTTACTTGAAATAAAAACAAAAAACTTGAATTGGCAACATCGTCTTCACCTCAGGATCTTAATGCAAACTAAATCTTAAAAATATCTCATAAGTCAGTCTTTGACAGGGTGTCAATCACTGGTCTTGGTATACATATATGCATTTCAGTCATTGACACTCATTTTTTCACAGTTTCCTTTTGTTAGGCTATGTTTTTACTCCTTATTTTGAATTTTTAGTCTATTTTATAGATCTGATTTCACTACCAATACCAGATATTTAAGAATTAAACTTTTTAAATTAAGGTTGAACAACTTACTCACCTTAAGAATCTGATTAAGCCACATATATCACTGTGCACACTTTGAAAACTTTAACACGTGTGTTGTTAACGCCGGGTCCGATAATTATGGCGGCCGATGCGGTGTTGCCAAACTGATAAAGGAAGAAGTTTATGAAGGAATTTAACACAAAACAAGGCACATTTCCTTAAAAACCAAGATTTTGTAGGAAGTGTCAATAACTAGCTGGATGTCAATAACTAGCATTTTACCTTAATTAACCTTTTTAAGCAAAATTAGGGAGAATTCACCTCTTACATTTTAATTTTTTTCTAGAAATTTGCCAAAGGGAAAGTTGTGAAATTTTTCCAGAAGAAAGAGAAAAGTGAGGAGCTCATTATAGGAAAATTTCACAATTTTCCAATCACTCTAGGAAAAATTCTGGGAAATTGACTTTTTTAGGCAAAATTCACCTCTTAAATTTTAATTTTTTTCTGGGAAACTGGCAAAAGCAAAATTATGAAAATAAAGAGCTCATTATAGCAAAATTTTGAAATTTTCGAATGAAAAATGACTCCATAAAAAATTCTGGAAAATTGACTTATTTAAGTAAAATTAAGGAAAATTCACCCTCTTACATTTTAATATTTTTCTGGAAAACTGACGGAGGGAAAATTTTGAAAATTTTCCAAGAAAAAGAGGAAAATGAGGAGCTCAATATAGGAAAATTTCGAAATTTTCCAGTGAGAAATCACTCTAGGAAAAATTCTGGAAAATTGACTTTTTCAAGTGAAATCTCGAGTGAAATTAAGGAAAAATTCATCCTCTTATATTTAATTTTTTTCTGGAAAACTGACAAAAGAGTAAAAAAGGAAAGTCAGGAGCTCATTATAAGAAAGTTTCAAAATTTTCCAATGGAAAATCGCTCCAGGAAAAATTCTGAAAACATGACTTTTGCAAATAGAACTAAGAAAAACTCATTCTCTCACATTCCAATTTATTTCTGGAAAACTAATAGAGCAAAATTTGTGACATTTTTTTAAGAGAAAGAAAAAAATAAGGAGCTCATTATAGGAAAATTTCCAAATTTTCTAGTGAAAAATCACTCTAAGGAAAGTTGAGAGAAAAGTTCTGGAAAATTGACTTTTTTAAGCAAAATTCATCCTTTCACATTTCAATTTTTTTCTGGAAAACTGGCAAAGCAAAAATTGTGAAATTTTTCCAAAAGAAAAAGGAAAGTGAACAGCTCATTATAGAAAAATTTCAAAATGTTCCAATGAAAAATCACTCCAAGAAAAATTCTGAAAAATTGACTTTTTCAAGTAAAATTAAGGAAAATTCACCCTCTTCCATTTTAATATTTTTCTGGAAAACTGGCAAAAAAAGAAAAATTTTAAACATTTTCCATGAAAAAGAGAAAAGTGAGGAGCTCATTATGGGGGAAATTTCGAAATGTTCCAGTGAAACATCACTCCAAGAAAAATTCAAAGAAAATTGACTTATTTAGGAAAAATTAAGGAAAATTCATCTTATTTCATTTTAATTTTTTTCTAAAAAACTGGCAACGGGAAAATTTTGAAATTTTTACAAAAGAAAGAGGAAAGTGAGGAGCTCATTAGAGGAAAATTTCAAAATTTTCCAGTGAAAAATCATTCTAAGGTAAAAAATGTACCTATTACAAAACAATAATTCCGAAGGTGCTCTATGAATTAATCTATGACTTAACTTTTTCTCTAAGTTATGACGTCATCGATGACGTAAGTAAAAACCTTCGTGCCGTGCAACGAACTATATGTTTATTTGAAATTTCAGGCATAAAAAAAACCTATTTTTCAAAAAAAAAAGGCGAATGATGACGTAAGTACAAATCCTCATGAAACTACCTTTTTTTACGCGTCTCATTTCCTTTCCATCAAACCACATAAAAAAAAATTAAAAAAATGGTGCTGCAGCACCCTTCAAATTTGGAGCCTAGTTGCGCTTATGTACCTAGGGATACCCTTTTTGGATTTTGATTTGCAAATCTTCAAACTTGAATACCTCGATAATTAAAAGCCGTACTGGGACAATATTTTCAGGAATTGTTGCTCTTAATAGGGGCTTTAGGATGATATTTAACTGAAATCGCTACCATTTCTAGTTTTTGAGAAATCGAGTTTGAAGTTTTGGACAAAATGTAGACTAAATTTCAACTTTGAGTGTCAATATTTTCAAAACTTTACAAGTTACAAAACCCAATTTTGAATAGGTTTATAGAGAATTTAATGCTTTTTCCAATGATGTATAGTTATCACTAATTTACCCAAATATAATAATTGAAGAAGCAATAATTATTCATGAGCGTATCAAGATTTAAAAAAAAAATTACAGCCAAAAATGAGATTCCCTTTTAGATTTTTTTTCTAATCGAAATTTTCAAATATTCAAATTTCAAATGTGACTGAGGTAAGAACTAGCTTTATCGATTTCCCGAGGGGTAAACTGCAGGTGAATTTTGGTGAATAAATTATTTAGGAATTAGTAGGAATAATCATGATATTTGCCAACCCTGTGATTTTCCTTTTTTCCTCTTTTGCCAATTTTCCAGAAAAAAATTGAAATATAAGAGGATGGATTAATTTTACTTGAAAAAGTCAATTTTCCTTATAATGAGTTTTTCACTTTTCTCTTTTTCTTGGAAAATTTTCAAAATTTTCCCTCTGCCAATTTTTGCAGAAAAAAATTAAAATATAAGAGGTGAATTTTCCCTAATTTTCATTAATTTTGCCCCAAAAGTCAATTTTCCCGAATTTTTTATGGAGTAATTTTTTATTCGAAAATTTTAAAATTTTGCTATAATGAGCTCTTTATTTTGCTCTTTTTCACAATTTTTCTTTTGCCAGTTTAAAATGTAAGAGGGTGAATTTTGCTTAAAAAAGTCAATTTACCAGAATTTTTCTTGAAGTGATTTTCCACTGGAATATTTCGAAATTTTCCTATAATGAGCCCTTCACTTTTCTCTTTCTTCTGGAAAAATTTCACAATTTTCTCTTGCACAGATTTCTAGAAAAAAATTAAAATGTAAGAGGTGAATTCTCCTTAATTTTGCTTAAAAAAGTTAGTTTTTCATGGAGTAATTTTTGATTGGAAAATTTTGAAAATTTCGTATAATGAGCTTCTCATTTTCCTTTTATTCCTGGAAATTTTCCAAATTTCCCCTTTGCCAGTTTTCCAGAAAAAAATTAAAATGTAAGAGGTTGAATTTTCCTTAATTTTACTTGAAAAAGTCAATTTTCCAGAGTGATTTTTCCTCGGATTTTTCACTGGAAAATTTTGAAATTTTCCTATAAGTAATGAGCTCTTCACTTTCCTTTTTCTTTTGGAGAAATTTCACAATTTTTACTTTGCCAGTTTTCCAGAAAAAAATTGAATTGTGAAACGATGAATTTTGCTTAAAAAAGTTATTTTTCCACAACTTTCTTCTCGACTTTCCTTGAAGTGATTTTTCACTAGAAAATTTGAAGCTCCTCATTTTCTCCTTTTTCCTGGAAAAATTTCACAAGTTTCGCTTTATTAGTTTTCCAGAAATAAATTGAAATTTGAGGGGATGAATTCTCTTTAATTTTACTTGAAAAAGTCAATTTTCCAGAATTTTCCTTGGAGTGATTTCTCATTGAAAAATTTCGAAATTTCCCTATAATGAGTTTCTCACTTTTCTTTTTTTCTTTGCCAATTTTTGCAGAAAAGAATTAAAATTTAAGAGATGAATTTTCCTTAATTTTCATTAATAATTTTGCCCCAATAAGTCAATTTTCCAGAACTTTTTATGGAGTAATTTTTTATTTGAAAATTTTAAAATTTTGCTATAATGAGTTCTTTATTTTGTTTTTTTTTCTGGGAAATTTTTACAATTTTTCTTTTGCCAGTTTCCCAGAAAAAAATTAAAATGTAAAAGGGTGATTTTTAACTGGAATATTTCGAAATTTTCCTATAATGAGCTCTTCACTTTTCTCTTTCTTCTGGAAAAATTTTACAATTTTCTCTTGCGCAGATTTCTAGAAAAAAATTAAAATGTATCAGGGTGAATTCTCCTTAATTTTGCTTAAAAAAGTTACAGCTGTATGCAACATCCTCTTTTAACTTAAAAGCGCTTTTTAAGACTGGTACCTTTAAAAATTAATATTGTTTAGAATACACATTTTTAAAAGTGACCAGTTTTAAAAAGCGCCTTTAAGTTAAAAGAGGATGCTGCATACAGCTGTTAGTTTTTTAAAATTTTTTTTGGAGTGACGTCATCCTAAATGGAACATAAAAACCGTATATTTTTGGGTGTCTTGATTTTAAGGTAATATTGTAATACCGGCCCCAGTTGAATAATTTTATTCCATAACAATAATAATTGCGAAGGTGCTCTATGAATTAATCAACGACAAATACTTTTTTCTAAATTATGACGTCATCGATGACGTAAGTAAGTACAAAAAGTGCAAAAAAATACATAAAATAATTTGGTTGCACTAATTTTTTATATTAGTGTTAGGTAGTGCTATGGTGGGATGCCGAATAGGAGTGCTAATTTTTGCTTTAGGGTTGTTTAGCACCCCCCTAGTTGCACCTATGCTTAGATAAAATTGCAAAAATTAAAAAAAAAAAATTAAATTTACTTAATACTTACAATATGTATTTTAATTAGTTTTTAGATATTGAAATTATGTGTAATGAATAAATTTTTTCAGGTTCCTGCAAGCCCTTCAACGTCAGGCCGGAGTCTATTTCCTGATTTTGCTCGGAATTCTGGTTTTGTTCCTGCTGGATGCCATCAGAGAGATGCGCAAATATTCAAATATGGGTAAAAATTTATTATTATTAAAGATTTTACTTTCTACTGAATATTTGAAATAAATAGTATTTCTCGTAGTTTTGGAAAACTTTAAAATTGCTTAAGTTTGCGTTAGTGTTTTCATTATCATATTTGAAGAAATATGAGAGAAACAGTATCTACGAAATTTCTCTTTTCTTTTTCACTGCGAAAAAGTTGATACCCTAAAATATTGGTTTATAAGAATTTCAACAAAGATAAGAATAAAAACCTGTATGAAAAGCCTCTTTTACAAAGAAGTTAAGAATACTTAACTTCTTTTTTCAATTCATATGACTTGAAATATTTATGTTTCACCTTAAATACTTACTTAAATATAAGCTCCTATTTCTAAAATTTGTAAATTTGCAGAAGCTGACGACCACGGCCATGCCCATTTAGACCGCGAAATGCAAGGTAGCATGCGACTATTCCGAGCCCAACGCAACTTCTACATTTCCGGCTTCGCTCTGTTCCTCGCCCTGGTAATCAGACGTTTAGTGACTTTGATTTCGTCACAAGCCGCCCTCTTGGCCCAATCTCAAGCTTCGATGGCCCAAGCTCAAAGTGCCACCACAGCTGCTCGCAGCCTCTTGGCCAAAAGCGGCGAAATTCAGCAGAACGACACCAACGAGGCTCACGACAAGGAAATTACCGAGTTGAAGAAGGAAATTTTAGAACTGCAAAACCAGCTGGGTTTGGAGAAAAAGGATAAGGCTGCTGTTAAGAGTCAAGCTGATAATTTGGCTAAGGAATATGACAGGTTGTCTGAAGAGAATATTAAATTGCAGAAGAAGATTACCATTGGAGCTGGTGACAAAAAAGATGAATAACTTTTTTAATTATTTATTTATAATAATATTATTATATTTAGTCTTTAAAATGAAGAAGGCTGCACCTTATAGTTTGTATGGTTGGTGGATAAATTAGTTTGTATTTAAAAAACATTTAATTTCTTTTGGAAGGTGTACCAATTTATTCACCCTAATTTTAGTTTCATTTTTGTTAGTGTTCCATTACTTACCTAACCTTGTTTTTTAATAAATATTTTTTATTGTCCTTAAAGTGGTTTTATTTATCTTTACTTTTTTCTGTCTCAAATTTTATTTTCACTGGACTGAATGACCGTTTACTCTTCGACTTTCGATTCTATGGTTTATTTTTTTCCAAGATAGATTTTGGCATTGTCAACTTTGAAACATAAACAATGCCGCTTATTGGTCGCTATTGTAAAACTGATGTCAACCTGCAGAAATACCTCATTTTGCGACCAATCAGGGTTTAGCGTTATTGTTTATGTTTCAATGTCAAAATCTATCTTGAGAAAAAATAAAGTGTAGACCTTCATGGTCCATCATGTTGAAAGCCTTGCTAAGGTCAGAGTAAACTGCAAAAGGACATTTTCCAGTATCCAGTGCCTTCGCTATAACAATAATGTGATTACGAGATAATAGGGGTTGTTTCGGCCACTCAAACCTTTTTGTGTTTATTCCTACGTCATCAATGTTCCGTATCGAAGCTTGGCAACATTGTGCTGTGACTTGTGAGCCCAGCTTAAAGCACGAAGGAGAGAGAAAAAAATACACAGCTGGACAAGTCAGCTGGAACGCAGAGAAGCAGCACCGCCGTACAAGAAACAAGCAGCTTTTATAAAAAATCATTTTTTCATCTAAAAATCAAATAGTAAATGTCAATAAACCAAGTATTCATCATCACCATCTGCTAGTCCATTATTTCAAGATCAACCAGAAGGAAATACAGTCCAAAACATGGTCTTACGAGCCGAATAAACAAGAAAACGGAAAACCAGCCAGTAATTTTCCACGTTCAAGTATTCAAGTTAATCAAGTTAAAGTGCAAGTGACAATAGCAAGTGGCAATATTCGAGCAACATTACACGGGGTGAGTCGTTTCCAATACACATTTCCTATTCCTAGAGTCCTTAAACAGGACACAAGTTCAAGATATTCGCGTAATAGCCAACAAATTATCTTAATTACTAATTTAATTCATAAATAGATCAATAATGACGGAGTTAGACAAACTAATCAGAAAGAGAGGTTCACTCAAGGCTTCTCTTACATTGTTCACTAAATTTACCGTACAAAAGCAAGATAGCATAAGGCAGGGGCAGTTTTTGAATGAGACAGAAATTATACAAATTCAGGAAAGGGTTACGCGAATAGAAATTGTTTTTCAAGAATTTATTTCAACTCAAGACGAAATCGAGGCAAATGTCGCATTGGCCCATTTGGATGAGGAATATAACGAGCGTGCATCATTTGAAGATGCATATTTTTCAATCATATCCATTGCAAAAAATATTCTAAATTCATTCTCATCCAAAAACGATGACGCTGGGTCAGTACATTCATGTCATTCAGTTGCAAGGTCTATCGTTGCAGGGTCTATTGGTGCAGGGTCCAATGGTGCGGCGTCCGTTGGCGCAAATTTAGATTTGGGTGGGGTTAAATTGCCAGTTATTCCTCTTCCCAAGTTTCATGGTTCATTTCACGAGTGGCTAGAATACAAAGAAACCTTTCAGTCCTTGGTTCACGAGAACGAGTCTTTATCCGCAATTCAAAAGTATCATTATTTGCGGGCATCTTTGGAGGGCAGTGCAGCGCAAATTTTAAAATCCATTGAATTTACTCCAAATGGATATATCGTTGCATAGGAAACCCTAAATAATCGTTTTAATAATTCAAAATTATTAATTCATAATCATATTAAAGCATTGTTTACACTAGAAAACATTCAAAAAGAATCATCCATAAAGATTCGTAAAATGATCGATGACGTGTCAAAGCATCTCAGATCACTAGAGCAATTAAATCAAGTAATTAAAAACTGGGATCCTTTGTTAATATTCATGATAACATCTAAACTTGATCAAAATACGGCAAGTGAATGGGAAAAATATTCGATAACATTAAACACTTCTTCATTAGATGATTTAAAAACGTTTTTAACAAATCGGGCTAATTTTTTGGAAACTCTAGAGTACAAAACTACTTCGAAATTAGCGCAAGACGATTGGCAGGACAAGCGAGATTTCAAGCAACGGTTCTCCTCTAGGTCCCTAAGTTTCTTCAACACTTTCGTGTTATAATTGCAAGAAAGATCATTCAATTTATGTGTGTGAAGATTTTCTCAACTTACCAGTTAAAAAACGTATCGAGTTCATAAACAAAGCAAAACTATGCATAAATTGCTTGCGTCATCATCCACCCAAGAGATGCAAAATGGGTACCTGTAGAAAATGTAATTCGTGGCACAATACTCTATTACACCAGGATAATTTCAATTCTCCATCGAATGTTACAACTGCTGACAGCAACAACGACGAAGGGTGTCAGGCAGAGGCGGTTTTAAGTAGCAGCATATGCAAATCAGGTAAGCGGGTTATGCTTTTATCAACACCTCGAGTCAAGGTTCTAGACAAATTTGGCATGCCTCACATTGCGCGAGCTTTACTAGATTCCGGTTCTATGTCTTCTTTTGTCACGATAAACCTATGTGACAAATTGGGTTTAGATAAAGTTAATGCCAATTTAAACGTCTTCGGCATATCAAACTCGGTTACCAAAGTACATGGTAAATGTCAAGTTATTCTAAGTTCTTTATATACTGATTTTAATACAAAACTTACTTGTTTTATTCTTCCTGAAATCACAAATGTTACACCAGGTTTTGAGATTGACTTAAATTTATTCCAAATTCCATCAAACCTATACCTTGCCGACGAGGAGTTCAACAAACCAGGTGCGATCGACGTTTTGATTGGTTGCGATCTCTTCTGGAGTCTATTAAAATTAGGTAGGTTATCAGGTGGTAAGTACAATCCTACGCTTCAAGAAACTGAACTTGGATGGGTAGTAGCTGGTCCAGTAGGAGGAATTGGAGCAAAAGAACAAAGGAGACAAGTTTCTTGCAACCTAAGCATCAACCAAGATTTGCATGATATGATGGCACGATTTTGGGAAGTTGAAGAGTTGACTCAAGCTAGACCGTTATCCAGCGAAGAAACCGAATGCGAACGAATCTTTTCAGAGACAACATGTAGGAACCATGAAGGTCGGTTTGTAGTGAATCTACCATTAAAACAGTCAGCTGATTGCTTAGGCGAATCCCGCTCTCGAGCAGAGAAAATGTTTTACAACCTCGAGAAAAAACTTCTAAAGCAAGAGTCTTTGCAGGAACAATACATCAAGTTCATGCAGGAGTATCAATCCCTCCATCACATGACCGTTGCTGATTTGAATTCCAACCCTTCTGACGTGGAATATTTCATGCCTCATCATGGAGTTTTACGAAGCGATAGTTTGACTACTAAACTTCGGGTTGTGTTCAATGCCAGTTCTCCATCAAGCAACGGAATATCTCTTAACAATATTTAATATGTCGGACCAGTTTTGCAGGACGACCTCCTATCAATACTGCTAAGGTTTCGCGAAAAGCGCTATGTGGTTTCTGCCGACTGCAAAATGATGTACCGACAAGTATTGGTGAATCCCATGCAAAGAAATCTCCAGAAGATTTTATGGCGAGAAAGCCCCACGGATCCACTTAAAGCATATACACTAAATACCGTTACATACGGACAGGCAAGCGCAAGTTATTTAGCCATTCGTTGTCTATTCCAGTTAGCCAATGAGTGTGCTGACTACAATCCAGAAGTTGCTGATATCATCAAGCGCTCCTTTTACGTCGATGATCTGCTTTTTAGTACTGACTCCATAGAACATGCACGTCATTTATGTCAAGAGATTGCACGTGTTCTAAAAGGCGGTTGTTTCGAGTTGCGCAAGTGGTATTCCAATGAACCAAAGGTGCTCGACGGCATTGAAACCAACGACGAAGTATGCGGCATCTTAACTTTCAGTCCTGATGAAACAGCTAAAACCCTAGGTTTAACTTGGTCCTGCTATAACGACAAGTTAGCCTTTCGCATTGATATAAGCACTTATCAGATGGATACAAAAAGAAATGTTTTGTCTCTCACGGCTCGCATATTTGACCCATTGGGAATGTTGAGTCCATGTACTATCCTAGCGAAGATCCTCATGCAAAGATTGTGGTCTGAAAAGGTGTCTTGGGATGAGAGTCTACCGGAACATCTAGCCTGTGAATGGCACAAGTTCAAGGTTGATCTACTTTGTTTAAATCAATTAACCATCGAACGACATGTAGTGGGCGAGGGGGCGCAGATAGTCGATTTGCAGGGTTTTGCAGACGCCTCCGAGCGAGCATACGGTGCATGTTTATATGTTCGAAGTGTAGATCAAAATAATCAAGTACATGTAAGGCTTTTATGTTCGAAATCCAAAGTTGCACCCATTAAAACTCTAAGCATACCCAAGTTAGAATTATGCGCCGCGTTATTACTTGCTCGTCTTGTAAACAAGATTAAGATGTCTTTAAATATACAATCTCAAAAATGTGTCTATTGGTCGGATTCGTCAATCGTTTTAGCATGGATCAGAACGACTCCAAACGTATTAAAGACGTTTGTAGCAACCAGAATAGCAATAATTCAAAATCTAACCGAAAGTCAATCAAATTCTAGAGTCGGATATGTGGTGGCATGGACCCAGATTTTTGAAGACACCCTCTAGTGAATGGCCGTTATTACCATCTAAAGTCGACACCGTTCCAGAGTTGAAACCCTTGTCGATCACCGCAATGCCAGTTTTCGAATTAAACACATTTCCTTTCGAAAGGTTTTCAAAATGTCTGCGTTTGATTCGAGCTGTTGCTTTTATTTTGCGATTCAAGAACAATTGTTTGAAATCGGCTTCTGATCGAGTTAAAGACCCTCTTAAAATTCAAGAATTTAATCTTGCAAAGAAGCATCTAATTAAGGTCGCTCAAAGACACTCTTTTCCTGATGAATTCTCTCATTTAATTGAAAAACGTCCCATTGCTAACAATAGCAAAATTCTCAATTTAACACCATTTTTAGATTCAGATGAGATTATTCGGGTTGGGGGCAGATTGGAATTTTCTGATTTTTCACCAGATAAAAAACATCCAATATTATTGCATTCAAGTCATCATTTTACGAAATTGCTCTTTGCCCATGAACATGTCAAGTTAATGCACATCGGACCTCAAGCTTTATTATCCTCAATAAGAGACGAATTTTGGCCAGTTGCTGGTCGCAATTTAGCTAGAACGACGGTCAAAAGATGTTTTCGATGTTTCAGATTTAAACCCGATTATGTACAGCCGATCATGGCCAATTTACCGCGCGATCGCACTGTTCCTTCTCCGCCTTTTCACGTCACAGGACTTGATTATGCGGGACCGTTTCTAGTGAGGCAGGGACTGGGTAAATCACGTTCACGCAAATTAGAAAAGTGTTATATTGGAGTATTCGTGTGCTTTTCCACAAAGGCTTTGCACTTGGAACTAGTGTCAAGTTTAACTACAAACTCTTTTTTATTAGCTTTAAGGCGTTTCGTTTCCAGAAGAGGGAAACCTTCCAAAATTGTTAGTGACAACGGCACAACCTTTGTTGGAGCACACCGCGAACTTAAAACATTTCTAGAATCCAATCAAGATACATTAAAATGTAATGCTACTAATGAAGGGATAGACTGGCAATTTATTTGTCCATATTCTCCGCATATGGGGGGTTTGTGGGAGAGCGGCGTCAAAAGCGTAAAACATCATTTAAAACGTGTCCTTGCAAATGCTCATCTTACCTTTGAAGAGCTTATTACGACATTAGCGCAAATTGAAGCTATCTTGAACTCGCGCCCTCTTTCTCCACTTTCCTCTGAACCCAATGACCTAGTTCCTTTGACCCCGGCTCACTTCCTTATCGGAAGACCACTAACTGCCGCCCCAGATGAAAACTTGGAAGATATCAAGCTCAATCGATTGACAAGGTTCCAGCTAGTTCAAAGACTTTGTCAACATTTTTGGCGACGTTGGCAGCAAGACTACATATCCGAATTGCAACACAAACAGAAGTGGAAGGTTAGCCGAGGCCAGTTGTCTGAGGGTACATTAGTTCTCATTCGGGATGACCAAGCACTCCCTACTGATTGGAAACTTGGACGCATCACTCAATTGCACCCAGGTTCTGATGGCGTAGCTCGCATCGCTTCCATTTTAACAAGCACTGGGCCCATCAAAAGAAACTTCCAGAAGATTTGTCCCCTTCCATTGGAAATTTGAAAGTACAGTCCTTTCAAGGCCGGGGGCATGTTTCGGCCACTCAAACCTTTTTGTGTTTATTCCTACGTCATCAATGTTCCGTATCGAAGCTTGGCAGCATTGTGCTGTGACTTGTGAGCCCGGCTTAAAGCACGAAGGAGAGAGAAAAAAATACACAGCTGGACAAGTCAGCTGGAACGCAGAGAAGCAGCACCGCCGTACAAGAAACAAGCAGCTTTTATAAAAAATATTTTTTCATCTAAAAATCAAATAGTAAATGTCAATAAACCAAGTATTCATCATCACCATCTGCTAGTCCATTATTTCAAGATCAACCAAAAGGAAATACAGTCCAAAACAGGGGTGGTAAAGTTACAAGTGAACAAACTCGAGAATTTTCTTATGACATTTGTCTTCACTTTTTAATTTTCACTTCAAACAAAGCATAGCGTTGCCATCCTATTATTTCAGATTTATTTATTTATTGAAAAACGTAAAATTATGATACATTATATTTAATTTAAAACAAATTTAAAATAATTATTCTTGATCCCTATTACTTATTGGTCGTTTGCATTGACCATTTTAGGGAAGCCTTAACGAGAAGTATTTCTTAAAATGACATTTTCATATGGAGAAATGTCACTTTAAGGAATACTTAACGCTAAGGCTTCCTTAAAATGGTCAGTTCAAACGGCCATATGTAATGTAAAAAGCAGCAAAATGTTATCATTTTGGTAATCCAGCAACAATGGAACTCTCAATACCGACATGATCTTCGCCTCTTAGTATTTTGAAAGTGCCGTTATCGCCCCAATCGGAATTCCACGAGTTGGCAATCAACCAATAAGGCACGTTATTTTCGACGCCCCATCCTAGAATCCTTATGGCATGTCCTCCTAGGAATTTGCCTGATACGTGTTGATACACACCTGAAATTTTTACAATAGTTATAACACATCATTGTCCCGAACAAAGGAAGTGTGGAGAGAAAGGAGAGAAAAAAAAATCTAAGAATAACAGTGAAAACCGCACCCCTCTATGACAAATAATACCGAAGATATGGCTCTATGAAGGTACCGAAACTCACCCTATGACGTCACGAAAGCTCAAGCGACACACGAGAAAGTGAAGTAAATTGAATTTACATGTTTTTCCTGTGTCACCTGCAATAATCTAAACAAAAACCACTGGGAACAATCAAATTAACAATGCAGAGCGCAGCTATACGAAGCTCTCGTGACGTCACACACACTTGAAAGCGGTATATTTCAGCGATGGTTTATCGTAGAATAACGAGGTTTGAACAGTTATTCTTAGATTTTTTTATACTAAAACTTTAATTTTTGGTGCACACCCCCTTTAAGTCCTTGCACCAAGTAAATTTAAATTAAAGTCAATTTAGCTTAAGTCAGGTACGGGTGTGTTATAAACATATAAATTTGAAGGAATACCCAAATTTTGGGTATGAAGACTGTAGTACCTAGTTAATTAAGTTCACTCGGTGATAAATATAATTACCGCTTTTATAATTCAACAAATCAGCGTAAACGGAAAAAGCGCCTTCCACTGGTCCATTGGTGGAGATTTCCATTTGAATTTGTTCCACTCTGCTGGCAACAGAGTAGGCCTTGGAACCGTAGTGTCTATCTTGGTCGTAGGTGATGGTGTAGGTTTTTTCGCATTGCTGCACGCATTTCGGGGTTTTATTGTCGTCACCTGAAAAAAAGAAATTTTTTATTTTTTCATTTTTACAGACATTAAAATATCTTATCAAAACCATTGATCAAAACAGTCCAACCTGTCAGACAGAAGACTGATTAGAAAATCTAGCCGACCTTGACAGAAAAAAAAAATCATATCTGTAATTTAGTTAGTACGATAGTGTCTGATTTGGAAAGGACATGAATATTAATTTTATGTTATATCCATGTGCATGCGTCTGATCTGGATTATAGTAATGTGTGACAAGTGAGTGAACCGTGGTAACGTATGAAGTAGCAGAGAGGAAGACGAAAATCTATACTATACGACGCGACGGTTACCCGACGTGGTGCATTGCGAAAATTGCGTTTACCCTGACGCGACGACCCGCGTATAAGTATATTTTATCTCGGGCCAATCAGGAGGGTTATGCCCGCATTCCTTCCATACAGGTTCATTCACTTGTCGCAGTTTAATATTAGAACTTTCAAGATGGCTTTCAACATATCTTCAACCTCATGGCGTTTCTTGAATGAAATAAATCTCAAGAATTTATGTTAAACTTTGTAGTGGGTAGACCAGACTACCAGACACAAGAACAGTAATCTAGATAAGGTGCCTCACAAGTGAACAGAACAATATTATCATGGATGCTATATTAAGAAAATCTTCAACACGCCTCTTAATAAAACCATTTGAACTTTGAAGTGACTTTGAATCTGCCATTAATATATGGGGTATGTAAGATAAGTTGGAATCAAGGACTATATAGATCTTTAATTTGAGATACAGATTCCAAAGGGCAACCATTTATAGTGTAGACTTGTTCAGTGGAATTTCTATTACGACTAAAGACCATTAGATGGCACTTTTTAACATTGAGTTCTTCAAGCTCCATTCCACCATAGTTGCTCAGACAGTTTAAGTCGCCTTACAGTTTTATGTAAGTACCAGTTATTATTCTCATGTATAATTTTAAGTCATCTGCAAACATTAGGAAGAAGGCAAAGACAAAAAAGGATGCAATCTTATTCACATGTAAATTAAAAAGAAGAGGGCCCAGGTGTGAATCTTGGGATACACCCGATGGTACTTTAATTTCTATCGATTGAAATCCCTGAATTCGTATTATACAGGGTGGAAAATTAAAAAGGATCCACCTGGATTTTCTCGAAAATTATCAGGAAATTGAAAAAACGCCGAAACACGTCGATTTTGTTCGCAAGGGGGACATTTTTTGGCTATTTCAAAATTTTCCTAGATTGCACCCCCTTACCGGCGTGAGTTGCACCCTCAAAAGTTGAATAGGGAAACTGGGTCGAGTGGTACCTTGATAACCCCCCTCCCAAGCCTTGTACTCATAACTGCAAAATTCGCACTTTTTTGACATTGCTTCGACAATTTGACGTTTTATGCGTGAATCAAACGTCAAATTGTCGAAGCAATGTAAAAAAAGAGCGAATTTCGCAGTTATGAGTACTAGGCTTTAAGCGGGTTAGCGTTTCCTTAAAGGCCTTATGACATATGATGACAAAGACAGAAAACAGCGACCGTCGGCAAAAGTCCTAACTTGTGCTTTCCAAATTCCATTGTTGCCATTTCTCATGTCAAGACAATAAATATTTCAAATTGTGAAAAACGTGAAGAGAAAAATCGTAGAAGCCAAAACTATCGTATACGTATAACTGCATACGATAATTTGGTTGCTATCGTATTGTAATATTCCGAGAAAATAGACCCATAAATCACAATGTCTTTACTGTAAAAATTTAATAATTATCAAATAATCAAAAACTTAATTTCCGGTATTCCTAAATCAGTATCGATAAATTAAAAATGAAACAAATTAACGCTAACATAATTCGACACCCAGCCTGTCATCATCTAAATTAAATTCTTAAAAATAATAAAAACGAGGACAGGGTGATGTCATCCTAACACCCGATCAATGAACTTTTTTTTTTAGCAAGGCCAGCATGTTAATTAACTTGAATGATTTATGGCATTCTTGAACCAATAACGTTTTGACCTCTATAAATCAGAAATTGCGACATAATTATTCGATTTTTAGACTAAAAATAATAAAAATTTCAAGGAAATTGCATCATCTTAATTGTCATGGACAGAGAGATTTGGGGGGAACGATTTAATATAAATAGCGCGGGTTGAGTTAGCAATAGTTAGTTGCCAGAGCAGATGAGTTGTCAGTTGAGAGATGAGTTCGCAGTCCTGTCCAGTTTGAGTTGAAATCTAAAGTAGGTACCTAAAGTGTCAGTCCGGAAAGTTTCTTGTATTGCCTCGGTAACAGTCTTTGAAAAAGTAGCGGAAAAATTTTGAAAGAAAGAACAATTAAATTCGTCAACATTTATGTGCGGGCTCTAAGTAATCAAAAGAAATAAATTACATTAGTTTTGTGTTTTATGGACAAAATGTGAGTACTCTATAGTGACAAGATTTATTTTGAATATAAATGATGAACATGTCTTTGTGTGATTAAACTTTGAATTTCAATGCCTAAATACTTGAGTGATTTTTACTAGTAAAACTTTCTAACTTTTATCAATGATTCTGAATGATAAGAAGTGAATTAACAATGACTTTAAAGCCTAAAAACTTGAGTGATTTTTACTAGAAAAACTTTATTACATAAATATGTATTAATAACTCGAGTGTTTTATAAATGGAACATTATTGAATAACTTTAATTGTTTTCAGATATAATGACATTCTAATTTAATTTTGCACCAAAAATATGAAGGGAATTTATAATGCACTTACCAATATACAATTTTGACTATTTTGAGTAGGGATTATGAATTAAACAGTTGGGTTTATTAGCTAGGCATAGGAATCCGAAAATAGAATTTGTTCTGATAAACTATTAATTACAATAGGGAATTTTGAAGAAAAAAAAAACTTGATGTTCATGAAATAGTATTGTTCTTGTCTTAAAATAATGGAAAATTGTTAAAGGAAACTTATAATAGAAATTGTTCTGATTAAATAAACTATTGAATGGAATAGGAAATTTTGAAAAGGAAAATTGTTGTTCATGAAATGAATTTTGAATTAGGATTTTTATTTTTCAAGTAGAAATTATTGTAAGGTTTTATAAGAATAAGTTAGTAATACCTATATTGATAAACAAATAGGTAATTATTTTGGGTTTTCATAAGCAGGTCCAGTAAAGGACTTAGAAATTTTAAAGAATTTATATAATTAGGTGAAGGGTAGTTTATTAGGAATGAATTGGAAGTATTGAAATGAGTTAACTTATAAGTTATTAGGAATATTAGGAATAGGGCGTTTCTTATTTAGTAGAGATATTTCAGTGGTCCGTAATAATAACATTTTGAACGGATGTGAAGCAGGGATGTTCCAAGGTGCACAATTGAGCATATTATACACAATTTGATCTCAATATGCACCATGTGCACAATCTTCATAAAATATGCACAATTTTCTTTCACAATTCAGCCAAAACAAAATTATTTTTCTTAAGTAAACTTTTTGGCAACCTCGCCTTGGGCGTTGGTTGTGGTTACTCAACTACTCATACTACTACTACTACAAGATAGCCTATCCTAATAAGGCGAATGTAGAATAAATCTGAAGCTCCCCACCACGCCTAATCACCAGTTGTGACGTAGACAACATGTCGCTTCTCGCCTTGACATAGGCTGTTTGCACCACAGGTTATGATTCCGCCTGTTAACTACAACCGCTGGCGCAAACAGCTGACGTCGCTGATGACTTAGTTAGTGATGTCGATAATGGTGATACACCAAAATGGCGCCGATTACCAAAAACGAGGCCGATAAGCAATCCTTAGTAGTGTGTAATATCCTTGGTGGTTACTGACATCTGTTATTTATTTTGAAAGTTAAGTTTGATTCACGCATAAAACGTCAAATTGTCGAAGCAACGTCAAAAAAGAGCGAATTTCGGTCTTATGAGTACTAGGCTTTAATTGGTTAAACGTTGAACCAAACCTATTTCGCGTTGAATTAATGACGTCATAACAAAACTGTTTGAAAATGAAAATATTTTGAGACGAGATTTCTCATCGGTTCATAAACAAACGCATGTGCAATAGTTTAGGAAAGTAGACTGTTTTTTATGTTTATACGAGTGTTGTGTCTTGTGCAGGAGGTTATGGCATCATGAAGACTCTTACATTTTTGAAAAATAAAAAATAGATCATTCGAAAATATCAGTAATTAATTATTTACCATAAAAAACAAACAAAAATCTAGGTTCCGTATGGTTAAATTCTTCTGGTTTGAAAACCTAATTTTTTCTTGAACGAAAGTAATGACGTCATTTTTAAACAGATTTTCGATGTCTCTATTAATGACGTCACTTACGTCATTTTTGAGCATGTGCACAATCTCGAACGAATATGCACAATTTTCCATTGGTTAAATGCACACTTGAAAATTTTCTTGGAGCAAGCCTGATGTGAAGTGAATGAATTTTAGAAAAATAGATGAGGCTGTCAGAGTTGGGAGATATTTTGCTGATTTTAATTTTTGGGTTTTATGTACAATAAAATATAATTTTAGTACACCTCAATAGTTTGTTTCTCTCTCTTGCAAATAGACCCTTCCATAAGTTTAGGTAGCAGCTCCAAGTAAATAAACACCATCAATATACCGCTCGCCATTTACCATCTAATTAATTACATAGAGTACTTGGGGCGTTTTGCTATAGTATATCGTATCGAGCATACAATTATCGTATAAATACGATAATTATCGTATGGTTGGCAACGCTGGTTAGATCACGCAATTCAGCTGTCAAAATGTGAACAGAGAGGGAAACCGTGCGTTCGGTATTTTGATCTGAGTTCTCCGAACTTGAATTTACCGTTCGTTTATTTAAAAAGTGTACTCGGTGCAGGCTCATTCGCGTTCGTTTATTAAAATTTCTGGTACTCTAATACAGCGTTCTACTGCTCTGTGCGCTCGCTGGTCACGTGATTCCAGCTCCGCTCATCACGCTCTACTCTCTGAGCAAAATACCGAACGTAAGGATAAGAGGATTTTTGTGTCTTCGGGTCCGAGAACACCAATCGAACCAGCAACCAGCTCGGTTTTCGATTTATCTGTCCGAGTTCGCCCCAGCGTAGAGCAAGTGTAATTTTGTGATAGGATCCGAGGGGCACGAGAGCATTCGAACAAAAATCGTGCAATCCAATCGAAGCCGCCATAAGTGTTCTTGATCCTCGAGTCTCGAGTATCCTAGAATTTAATGGTGACAGAGTAAGGGAGTATGACACAATTGACACATCCACATCACATAATCCAAAAGATTATGCTTGGTTATCCTCACGAAAAATTGCCTAAAGTAGTCAAGTGAAACCAAGTAAGTATGAATAAAGCAAAAGCCCGTGGAATCATAACCTAAGCTCGGACTCTGTAACGAATATAGATATTTTCTCTATCTCTATTGGCGTCTCCTTTCTATTGACAACAAGTGCCATAGCGATAGGGATAACAATCTCTATCCGTTACATAGTTGCAACCCAGTGGTGCAAAGAGTACAAACACCCTACGTCAGGGCGAGAATCCAAGGATATTACATACTACTACTACTACAAATCAATGAAGTAGTTGAGAAGGTTTGGAATAGCTCCTTGCCTTGCCTATCTATTTAATACGTATATTTGCGACCAAGATTACAGAGAGAGAAGAGAGAACGGGAAAGATCCGTGATATTTTCTGCCCTTACTAACGTTATCTCACTCAAGGTTAGAGACAGAGTGAGAGATTCAATAGATTTTCTGCACTTACTAGCGCTATCTCATCCTGGAATCATTCAAGTTACGCAAAGCCCATTCCAAACCTTCTTTCTACTTCATTGCTACAGGATAGCTTATCTTCATAAGGCCTGTTTAGTTCAAATCTCGAGTCCCTCGCCAAAGCACCCGTGATGACGTAGGCAACGTGTCGTTTCTCGTCTTGACGTAGGGTGTTTGCACCACCAAGTTTTGATTCTGCGAGCTTATGCTTTATGCATACTTGGTTTTACTACATTAATTACCATCCTAAACAACTCTTTTTTAGATATCGTTTGCATTTTCCTTATGTCAATCGAAATTAAATAATATTTTTCATCATAAATTTAAATTCTAAACTACGACCGCTGGCGCAAACAGCAGACAACTTAGTTAATGACGTCGTTAATGGTGCTACATCATGACCGCGAGTCCCAAAAAGGGAATTTTTCGCGCTGTGTAACCACATAACATTTTTTCTTTTACTTGTAGTTACATCATACCATATTTTCTTTAACTTATGGTTACCTCATACCTCATACCACATATTTTTTTGAGAACCAATCCTTCGAATGACGTCAATGATGATGTTTAACATACCATAATAGGTAACTATGGGCGCTTTCTTTTAATCAGCAATGGATCCATCTGCTGCCAGCATTACGAGACAACTATTCCGATTTTCTGAGGCTAACATTTTGGATTGAAAGCGAAAAAAAAAAGTGGAGGTTAGGAATTGTTTTGGCATTTTAGTTGTTTGCAGGTTATTTGTTGGTAATGTTGATGTAGATGAAAACAGTGGGCTGTGGGCTTGTATAACGTTTGCCCAGATCAAACAAGAATTCTTTGAAACTGGATTTCTCCATACTACCCAATCTTCATCGAAGAATGGCATCCTTAGAAACGTCATCAAATAATAAAAGCAGCCTATTTTTCGTTGTAGTGATGCTGGGTATTAGTACTATTAATAAACCCCATGAGGCCACTGGCCATTGATGAAAAGTCGTCCTACATAAAGTAGCAGTTTGCGCATAATTTCAGCCTTTTAGGGCCAGTTTCTCAATAGCGAGTCACCCCGGGTTAAGCATAACTCCGGGGTGAACATGGCAACTGGACACGCTTACCCTGGAGGTGAAACCAACCCGGAGGTGACCATACGGTAAGTAAAGTTCAGCGCTTTCGGGTGCTCCTAGAACACTTCACACCTGTCAGTGACCTGTCATACTCCATGTGTTTTGCACTCGAACGGGTCAAACTGTTGCCGGAGTACTTCGGAGTAACTCGGAAGCGCTCAAAGGGGTGACACCCGAGAGCAGCTATGGTGGTTACTTCGCAAAAAAATCCCTTTAAAGTAAATTTTGGTAATAATAGGTGCTTTCGAAACGTGTGATCCGATTTAAGCGGTTTGATTGGATTAGTAATCTCATGGTTCGTAAAATGATCCGAAGTCGAGTACTCGCGTTCGGTAAGTGATCTTTGTAAACTCGGTTTTCTCATATGTTTGTCATTTTGTTAACCCTGCTCTTGACGTGGGTAGAAAGACAAGAATGACCCTTGTTTTCGTTTTACTTGGTTATTTTAGCCCGGTAAGTTGGCATCAGCCAGCTTATTTAAGTGCCGAATTTATAGTCATTCCTTGAGGCTTCCTCAAACCTTAAGAAAGCCTTGAATGTTTAGAATTGACATGACTAACTTGTCAAATAGTAGCAAGTGTCCATTCTAAACTCGCCACTTCAAGGAAGATTCAAGGAACGACTTTAAATTCGGGCTTTAGCACTTACTTGGATGTTGGATGTAACCAAGGATAATACACACTACTACTACCTACTACAGGATTCGATATTTGTCCTATACGTTTCGAATAGTGATAAGTGAATTCAAGTCAATTTGTTTAACAAAAGTTATTACCGTTTGTGTTAGTGAGTTTTAGTGAACCCGGAATCCGTAACCGAACAATCATTGAACTTATTGAAGTGAAATAGTGACTTCTTTATTACCGGATTTGATATCGGAAAACAAGTTCACAAACAAATTTTCTGGAAAATTCTACGAACTTCTATAGAATTCTATTAGGAAACCGTGAGTGAAACATACAACAATAGTGAGTTCATTACTGATCTCAATATTCCAGTGTGTTCTATTTGAAACTTTGATTTCGTCAAGCAAGTTATTTAAATGTTGGCGGACTTCCTGGACGAATTTAGACAAGAAGAAGAAGATCGAAGACAGAAAGAACAGGACCGACTTACAGTACTTCTACAACAACAAGAAGAGCGGAGATAAAAAGAACAGGACCGGCTTCAGGACAATGTTAAACATCAGCGTGAATGAATACAAACCGGAATCTCTAAGGAACAAACTAGATTCGCGAAAATACTGAAAGTACCTAAGATAATAAATTCACGAATGAAATGGAAGACGGACGCGAAGAAGTTGGGAGTGTTCATCAGACAGTTATGTGTTCGCCAGGAAGTTGGAACTTTCCAACAAAAATAGGATAGTTTACAAAATAAAATTAAAAAGTTGGGATTTGAGTTAAGATCAGGAAATATCTCCTTCTCGTTTGCACATGGTATCAAAGTAAAGTCACCACCCTACGACGTTGGATAAACATCATAAACGATGTGGATGTACACTGTGTCCCAAATTGCTTGTAGTCACAGGGTTTTTCGGTAACCAACAGAGATATAACCATATAACGTTGCGATTTTCGCGATCCTGTGTTTTTCGTGAAACTCTGAATGCCGCAAACAGAATTGTACCATTTTGTTTCGTTTCCGAAATACAGGGTGAAATGGAAATTTGGCGTTTTTTGGGGTGGTATCATATTTCGGACACCCTGTGAGATAGTTGTCAATTATTAAGATTTTGAATAAAAGTTCTCATTGAAATATCTGTTATATACAAGAGAAGATTGAAAACTTGCAGGGAAATCGTGGATACTTTGAAGAGAAAAATTCGTTTCAATATTGTAGATGGAAGATACTCTTACCTGTACATGGTGGCCTGGTTCCGTTAACGTGATGTTCGCAAGGCGCAATTTCGTAAGGTCTGCACCCTTGTTCGGATCCGAACGGCCCTCCGGAAACGATTCCTTTTCGCACCCAATAATGGAAAGCCGCCCCCGGAAAGCCTCCGTTACAGCCCATGCCGCAAGTGTAGCAACAAGACACCAAATCGTCTGCGGAGAAGCGGAAATGCGTTTGCCCGTTGGAGTGGATGCAAACGCGGTCGGACATTACTTCTACTGCTCCGAAAGCCTAAGAAAAAAAGAGATTATTTTTATTTATTTATGATACTTACTACAACAACGGAGTAAATTCCAAATAGAAATAGATGACCAAGAATCAATTCCTCTAGTCAGTAGATTCTTGCATTTGAGAGATGGAATTTAAAGAGGATGAAAGTTATTGAGAAGTTTTCTTTTGTCACTATTATCAAGTATCCAGTGTCCCCTATATATTCCAGAAATTGTATCCCAACGCGTGAGTCATTGATCAGTGCCTTCCTCTTGTAAAACATTAACCATCCCAGTCGGAAAAGATTGACAAGAGAAACTCTAAATTTAGGATGTTTTCACATGATGTCGAACAATTGTTTCCAGAAGATTATAAAATTATTTGAATGTGAAATGAAATTGTGCACAAAAGAAAAGTACCTAAGTGAACATAATTGAACCATTGTTTTCTCATTCATATATACCTACCCTTTTGAATGACTAAACTTTTAACATACAAAGATGAATTCTTAATACTAACCCAGCAAGATCCGCAAGATCCCTGATCTCTGATCTCTTTGATTGTAGGACAGTCGGGCCATTGAGTGCGCGAATCGAATGTTTGTGGCAATTCCACACCTTCCAGTTGATGAATCAGTACGGGAGGCATGAACATTTTGTGATTTGGTAGAACTCCCATCAGCCCTTCAATGTATTTCATCGGGGTGTTTGTAGGGAAATTTTTTCCTGCCTTAAAAAAGAGAAATAACAATAATATTATATACAATGAGCATCAAGTATATTACAGTTATTCAAAATCGAACACTTTTTCTTAAACATACTCGAAATTTTTATTTCGAGTATGTACCCTCTCAGACTTCAAGAAAGTACAAGTGTGTAGTGATAAGTTATGTCATTTTAAGTAATGTAAGTAACATCCAAAATTTATTGATTTATTTTATATCGCAATCTGTTGACTTTTAATTTTCAATTTTCTTAATTATTAATGAAAAAACCATAAGTGATAAATATCCATTACCAAATATCGCAGATTTATTAGATAAACTAGGACGTTGTCAATATTTTACAACCTTGGATTTAGCCAGTGGGTTTCAACAGATTGAAATGGACCCAAAAAGTATTCCTAAAACAGTATTCAATGTAGACCATGGACATTACAAGTACACACGTATGCCCTTTGGTTTAAAAAATGCTCCTGCTACTTTCCAACGAGCAATGGATAATGTTTTACGAGGATTACTATGAAAAGTCTGTAATATCATTATCTATTCAATTCAACCAGCTTTCACGAACACATAAATTCTTTAAAACTAGTATTTGATCGATTAATGTCTTTCAATATGAAAATACAGTTAGACAAATTTGAATTTTATCAGAAAAGTGTCGAATTTTTAGGACACATCATAACTCCAGAAGGTCTCAAACCAAACCTTCGAAAAATAAGGCCTTCTAAAGATTTTTTTTTAACAAAAATAGAGAAATCACCACTAACACACATGTCCGCACAATGTGAAAAAGATGAGAACTCGGAAGACCAATATTTATGCCATGAGAAAATCAAACATTTCTTTGAATCACAAAAAAATCTATTTGAAAGACCAAAAAAAGTGTGTGAAAACAAAAAGCTAGAAGAAAAACGGAAAAGTTCCAAAATAAAAATTATAACAAATGTACCAATCAAACCAAAAACAACCACCAACTGAAAAAAAGAAGTCACCTTAACTATCAACGAGTAAACAGAGAACACCTCAACCATCAACGAGTAAACAAAGAACGCCTGATGAAAGAATACTCAAAGAAATAACGTGTAATGAAATAACTCTCAAAGAAAAAACACCAAATAAAAGAACAATACCAGAAACAATGCACAATTCCGAGACGGCTACAGCAAACACCTCAGAAACAGAAACAGGTCATATTTCTGCAGAAAACCCTAATTTAGGAGCACCTTACGTTGCGTTACGTTACGTTGAAAATCAAGTTATATTTAAATGAACAGCCAAAGAAAAATCTTATGTAAATATAATAAAGTTATTCGAAACCAAGAAAAGAATCCTAATTTATATAAATCAAAACCTGACCCGACAACAGGAGAAATACAATACAAATAATTTTAAGTGATTATTTACCACCAGAACATATGATAATAAGAATTTCCCAGGCAACATTCAAAAACAATTCAAACAAACATCTCAAACATTTTACTAGAAGATGTAATACATCAAGATGATCAAAAAGAAATAATAGATAGATACCATCACCATACAACAAAAACTTCATCTATATGAATGAGGAATGAGAATGACCGAAAATATCAAGAATATCAAGCAAAGATATTATTGGCCGAGTCTAGAAGGAGACGTAATTAATTTTGTAATTACATGTGAAATATATCAGAAATCAAAATCTGAGAGATATTGTCACGCTAAAAAGTTTTTATAATTTACAAAAGGAAATATTTTTCATAAAAAAACTGAATATTTTAATTTTCTATTCAAAGTTCAGTTCACTGACTTTTCGCAAAACTGCAAGTCGTTTCCTTTTGTAAAATTAAACAATTTCGGTTATGAATCAATAACTATAATTTTGTAACTTCGATGAGTCCGCAAAACGATAGTTCAATTATTTCAAAGGTAAAATTGATTTTGCTGACTTATCAAAGACTCGATGGCGAAAAACCGAATTAAAGCTTGGACAGTACCCTCGCAGACTTCAAGAAAGTACAAAGTGTTGTGCAAAATTATGTTGAGTCATATAATGTAAGTACGAACCAAAATCTTTCGATTTGTATTTTATCGCAATCTGATTTAACTTTCAATTTTTAATTTCCAAAATTTCATTTTGTTTTATTTTATTTATTCAATTTTTTTGTTAAACTTTCTTTTCTATTATTTATTAATAAATCCCGATTTGTTATTGTTTTAAATTGGACTTTTTATTCCTTCCAATCCCGGATTATTCGTCTGGTATTTGGACGACGTTGCGACCAAAATCTGGACGTAACAATATCCTCACAAAGTCATTTATCAACATTAACGGGATCCAAACGCCTTGAGCATATTTATATGTATCTACATATATGTTATATGGATTTCACGACTACATTGACCTCAAGACGCGTTTCATCACCATAGTGGTACAAAGTATTACAAAGTCTAGATGCTACTTCAGCAAGTTATCCTGTAAATCCATAGAAACAGCAAGATCGACATATTTTTAATTATAAAAGATCCTGTCTCTTTAGCTTAAGCGTCATTATTCGTCATTATTTTATATAGTTGAGTTAATGTCCGATTTTATTTGTAACAAGTATTTTTTAAATAAATTAGTGTTTTTTTTTAAAAAGTGATTTTAAGAGTTTTTGAGATAACAATTTGGCGCAGTCGGTAGGATCTGTCAACGTTGTCAGAACAAGAAAATTCTAACTGATAGCGGCGGATTCTAATCCTTTAACAGAAAAAGAACGGAAGAATCCCAACTCGAAGTGAACACGACGAGAACACGACAATTCCATGGAGGCTATTCTATTGATGTAAGTACTTAAAGAATTGTCTCGTTTATTTTTTTGTTTGTTTTATGATATTGTTCGATTTTTCAAACATTCCCTATTATTTTATTTTTGCGTTTACCGTATTTTGCGAAGTTTTATTTTACTATATTTTGAAGATTTGAGAACCAATTTTTATAAATTGTTTCAATTTACCATATTTTGTTTATTTTGAAAAGTTGCTAATCAATTATTTCCTTAAATATCGTTTTATTTTACCGTATTATGTATTTCGAAAATTTACGAACCAATTTTCATAAATCGTTTCCATTAAACATATTTTGAAAAGTTTGTTAATCATTTACTTTCGAAATATTTTTGTTGTTGCTGTTTTTGAATATTTTTATTTGAATCAACAAAATGCCTAATGAAACCAATGAAAGCATTAGGGAAGTTGAACCATACAGACTTTCTGAAATATTTTCGATAATTCCTGAATTTGAAGGAGATCAAATCTTTTTGGGAAACTTTATTAATGCATGCGATTGTGCCTACAATATGGCAACCACGCAGCAAAAAGTTTTACTTGTTATTCATATTAAAAATAAACTCAGAGGTAGAGCAGGTCAACTGATAAGTTCTCGAAACCCCACTTCCTATTTGGAAATCAAACAACTTCTGAATTTACACTTTGGAGATTCTAGAGATCTTTCAGCTCTTATCCATGACCTCCAACGACTCAAACAACTACCAGGCGAGTCCCCACTTACTTTCTACAACAGACTTCAAGTACTGAATGCAAAAATGCATTCTGCTATCCAAAAGTCACCTTAAAACACAAGATCAAAAAGAAGCACAGTCCTCCCTTGTGGAATCTATGGCCCTAAACACTCTACTTACAGGCCTAGAACCTCGCCTTGGCCAGATTATCAGAGCAGGAAGCCCACACTCTCTTCTAGATGCTCAATGTAGAATCAGGAGAGAAATCCAACTTTCCTTTTTTGAGAATCAGAAGACTCAAAAAACTGCTGTTCAAAAAGTTCTGGTCAACAAACCACAATCATCCATTAAATGCTTTTCTTGTGGAAAAATTGGCCATACATCCAATCAATGTAGACAACAAGCTTCCAGTCGTTCAAACTTCACACAATACCCAAATCAAAATTTCCAAAAAACGACTACAGCTAACTACTCAGGCACCGCAAATCAACAGCCAACAACCAATGTTCCACAAAATAGAACCAAAGAATATTATAGACTAACGTCTCTAGAAGAACCGTCCGGCGGCGAAAATATAAACCTGCGTGATGGCGCTAGTGTCCTAGTAAAATCAGTCGTTTCTGCGATTAAATTAATTTGAGGGACCAAATGCACGCGTATTTGTTAGGCTGCGTTGCCAAGTTGTCTTTTGTATAACAAATTAAATGCCTGTGTTTTATATAGGTACTTTTTATGCATATACCTACTATAGAATAGGAATATTATATTATAATTAAAAACAATATAATAAATAGGTAAATAGTTATGTATTTTTGTGGGTAGTAATTTTCTGTCACTAATAAATAGAGGAATAAAACACAAAAATTGTTTCTGTCTGTCTGTCTGTCTGTGTGTCTACCTATGTCCGTTATAGACTTTGAAACTATCCGATCGATGTGCCTCAAACCAGTTTAATGTTTAATATGAAAGGCAAAAATAATAAGAAGGTTTTGGACCGCTAATGACAGGTGTCAACTGTCAAATTGAGACAGTTGCAGATTGAACCATATCTTCACAACGGATTTTGCTGAAATTTAGCATACACTTCAAGTTCAGGTGATTAGATGATAATACATTTTAGATCACTAATGACAGGTGTCAACTGTCAAATGAGACAGGTGCAGATTTTTGAACCATTATTTCGCAACGGATTTTGCTGAAATTTTGCATACAGTTTAAGTTCGGATGATAATACAATTTGGAATACTCAACAGCTGTCAAATGTAATTTTTGATAGCTGTCAAAATATGACAGATCGAGAGGTGAACAGGTTGTCAGGACTACCCGCGTCTTCGAAAATTTGCTTTTTTCGACAAATAGACAAATTTCAAAAATAAATAACCCATAATTTTGCACACCGATTTCCAAAATTTGCACACTTTTCTAGGGAAAGTTATATCGTATCAAAAATTTGCATAACCCCACCCGTTTTTAAAAAAATTGATAGACCCCTATGCTACTCGTTTCATCTAATTTTGGACAAT